CAATACCACGTCTGTTTCTCCTATCCACCTCTTTGTGATCCCTCTGTTGTTTGTTGTGCTGAAACTGTTCAATCAGTCCTCAGTTCTTCTTCAGGAGGAATTGCCCTATATGTAGGTGTAGATTCAGTGTGTCTGTGGGAGGAGGTGAGTTCAGGGTCTTCCTATGCTGCCATCTTGGACCTGAAACCTATACCAAACATTTAAAGAAGAATTCACTAGTCCTTTTCAAACTTTTCAAAAAAAACTGAAGATGAGGAAACACTGCATAACTCTTCTTATGTGGCCAGTGTTGTCCTGATACAAAAACCAGACAAAGATACTAGAAGAAAAATAAACTACAGACTAATATTCCTTATGAATATAGATGGAAAAATTTTCAACAAATACTAGCAAACCCATTTCAGCACCCTATTAAGAAGATTATACACTATGACCAAGTGAGTTTTATTCCTAGAATGCAAAATGGTTCAGCATATGAAAATTAATTAATATAATAAACCACATTTGTAGAATGAAAGGGGAAAAAAACACATAATCATCTCAATACAGAAAGTGCATTTGAAAGAATTCCACAACCTTTCATGTTAAAAACACTCAATACACTAGGAATCATAGGCAACTTCATCAACATGATAAATGCCATATGTGGAAAAACCCACAGATAATCTACTAAAAGATGAAAGGTTTAAAGGTTTCCCCCTGAGAACAGGAACAAGACAAAGATGCTTGATTTCACCACTTCTATTCAACATGGTATTGGGACTTCTAGCCAGAGTAATTAGGCAAGGAAAAGAAATTTTAAAAGGCATCCAAATTGGAATGGAAGAGGTAAATTATCTTTGCAGATGACATGATCTTATATGTAGAAAATCCCAATGATTACACACACTTGCGCATGCACTCACACAAACTAATTCAGGGAACTTGCTAATAAACCAATTCAGGAAAGTTGTGGGATCCAAATTAAGACACAGAAATCAGTTGCATTTCTATACTGTAGAACAATGAACAATCCAAAAGAAATTAAGAAAATAATTCCATTTACATCGCATGAGCAAATGAATAGATAAAATTCTTAGGAATAAAGTTAACCAAGGAGACAAAAGACTTATACACTGAAAACTACAAAGCATTGCTGAAAGAAATTAAAGACAAAAATAAGTAGAAAGACATCTCATGTTCATGGAATGGAAGACCTAATGTTAAAATGACAGTACTACGCAAAACAATGTACAGATTCAATGCAAACTCTATCAAAATCTCAGCAGCATTTTTTGCAGAAATGGAAAAACCCATCCTAAAGTTCATATGTAATCTCAAGGGACTCCACGTAGCCAAAATAATCTTGAAAAAGAACCAAACTAGTTAGAGGACTTACACCTTCTGATTGTAAAAAACAGAGCTGCAGTTGTTCGAATATTGTGGTATTAGCATAAGGACACATAGAGAATAGATTTGAGAGCCCAGAAATAAATTGTCACATATATGGTCAATTTATTTTTGACAAAGGAGCCAAAACCATTCCAAGGTGAAAGGCAAATCAACACATGGTGCTTGGAAAACTGGATATCCACAATCAGAAGAATGAAGTTGGATCCTTATCTTACACCGTATGCAAAAATTCACTCAAAATAGATTGAAGCCCTAAATGTAAGATCTAAAACTATAAAACTCTTAGAAGACAACATAGAGCAAAATCTATATAACATTGGACTCAGCAATGATCTTTTGGATATGACGCTAAAAGCACAGACAACAAAAGAAAAAAATAGGTAAATTGGACTTTATCAAAATTAAAAACTTTTGTGCGTCGTATGACACTATCAGCAAAGAGAAAAGGCAACTCACAGAATGGATAAAATATTTGCAAATTGTATGTCTGATGAGGGATTAATGTCTAGAATATATAGAGAACTTCTAAATCTCAACAGCAACGTGACCTGATTATAAAAATGAACAAAGGACTTGAGCAGACATTTCTCCAAAGAAGATAAACAAATAGAAAATAAGCACATGAAAAGATACTCAACATCACTAATCATTAGAGAAATGCAAATAAAAACCACAATAAGATATCACTTCACATCCATTAGGATGGCTCTTATTAAAAGAAAACAAAACATGGAAAATAACAGTTGTAGAGGATGTGGAGAAATGGGAACCCTTGTGCACTGTTGATGGGAATGAAAAATGGTACAGCTGCCATGGAAAACAAGTGGTTCCTCAGTTAAACATAGAATTATCCTGTAATCCTGCAATTCCACTCCTAGGTATATACCCAAAAGAATTGAAAGAGACTCAAAGAGATGCTTGTACATCCATGTTCATAACAGCATTATTCACAGTAGCCAGAAGGTAGAAAGACCCCAAATATCCATCAACACATGAATGAGTAAACACAATCTGATATGTACATACAATGTATTATTCAGCCTTAAAAGGAATGAAATTCTGATACATGCTACAACACAGATCAACCTTGAAAACATTATACTAAATGAAATAAGCCAGACACAAAATGACAAATGTGTGATTCCACTTACATGAGGTACCTAGAATATGCAAATTTGTAGAGACAAAAAGGAGTGTAGAGGTTATCAGGGACTAGAGGAAGAGGAAATTGGGAATCATTATTTAATGTGTACAGAGTTTCTGTTTGGGGTAATGAAAATTTTCTGGAAATGGTGATGATAGTTGCACAACAATGTGTATATACTTAATGTCACTGAATTGGACACTTAAATATGATTAAAATGGTAAGTTTTCTGTCATATATTTTATCACAATAAAAATGTTAAAAGAAAACCCTATTTTTTGAAATCATCAATCAAAATGAAATTTGCAGAATATTCATTTAATTGTAAGCCTGTAAAATGTATATTAGAAGCATTTGGACTATCAGTGCTTAAAGGAACATTTGTAGTATTATACACTAATCTTTTTTCTAAAAGTCTGAATATGAAACAGCTTATTTTTCTCTAGTCACTGCCTTAAAAACTTGTTTGTTAACCACAATGAGATACCACATCACACCCATTAGGATGGCTACTAGCAAAAAAAGAACCAGCCAACAAAATAACTAGTGTCGGCAGGGATGTGGAAAAACTGGATCCCTTGTGTACGGTTGGTGGAAATGTAAAATGGTCCAGTTGCTATGGAAATCAGTTCAGCAGTTCCTCCAAAAATTAAAACTAGAATTACCATATGATTCAGCAGCTCCACTTCTGGGCTTATACACAAAAGCATTGAAATCAGAGTCTAAATATTTGTACACCCATATGTACAGCAGCATTATTCACAAAAGCCAAAAAATGGAAGCAATCCAAGTGTCAACTGACATATGAATGAATAAATGTTGAGTGGTGTATATATATATGCAATGGAATGTTATTCAGTCATAAAAAGGAAGGAACTTCTGATACGTGATACAACATGGATTAACCTTGGGGACATTATGTTAAATGCAATAAGCCAGTCACAAAAAGACAAAAGCTGGGGGCCAGCCCAGTGGTGCAGCGGTTAAGTTCGCACGTTCCACTTCTCAGCAGCCCAGGGTTCACAGGTTCGGATCCCAGGTGCGGACATGGCACTGCTTGGCTAAAAGCCATGATGTGGTAGGTGTCCCACATATAAAGTAGAGGAAGGTGGGCATGGATGTTAGCTCAGGGCCAGTCTTCCTCAGCAAAAAGAGGAGGATTGGCAGTGGTTAGCTCAAGGCTGATCTTCCTCGAAAAAAAAAAAAAACGACAAAAGCTGTATGATTCCACTTATATAAGATACCTAGAGCAGTCATATTCATAGAGACAGAAAGTAAAAAGATAGTTGCCATGAGCTCAAAGGAGTGGGGTATAGTGGACGTATGGAACGGTCATTTATCTACTGTGCATGCAATGAATGTAAAATTTTTGTTTTCCAAAAAAAATACCCCATCATTCTTTTATCTACTAATAAAAATGCTGTGGGTTCAAGACATCTCACATTTTTAGCATATGCCTAATACTGTTTGTGGAATGTGGGTAGCACCAGCACAATAGCAGTCAAATATATGTAAGAACTTTTATAATAAATAAATATAAAGGATCATTCTAAATTTTCTTGGAACAGTATGAAATTTATGATCCTTAAGATTCTCATAGATAATTAAAACTATATATGTTCAAAATTAGATGGGAAACAGTTAGGAATTGGAGAGGTAAGATAGTTTCGGGAAAATGAGTGAGCATACTGAAGCAGAAACTGAAGATTTGAGGGTCAGGAGAGCTTCACTTTTGAGCAACACTAATATAAACCAAGGCACCAGAAGCAGGTCAGAGCAGCAAATCCAATCTAGGCAGAAAGTGGCTTTTCCTGTTAGCAGTTTTACCTTTCCTCTTGTGCGTTTGTGTTCCTATGAATGAAAGCCAAGAAAACTGGAGCCTGAACTATGCCTTTAAACATGAGGAAATCAGTGCCGTCATAAATTTATTTTGGTGGTGTTTTATGGAATGAAAAAACGGAACTATTAGAGAGCTGCTAAGTGTCTAGGTGTTCATTTAGGACGAGCCCAAGCCATATTAAGCCCTTATTCATTTACTGCAGTAGTGTAAGCAAGAGGCCAAGAAGAGAAAGAAGCTACTGGCACTCTATATTCCATATGTCCCCATGGAATGGCACTATGTGAGGGTCAGATGAGCTAGTGTAGGTGGGGGGTTGGGGGGATCACCTCACTGCTTAGGAAGCCCTGAACAAAAAGCTCCAAAAATTTTATGGACACAGGCTGAAGGGAGGTAGAGGGATAGGAGTGGAAAAGTACTGAGTTAGAGTGAGGAAAAGCATCTTCAAGGCCACCCGATAAGGAGGTCCCAATAAAGAGGTACCTAAATAGTGTCTGTTATCAGTGCTGCCTATGAAGGACTCCAAATGGAGATGCCCGCTGAGGAATTCAGAAACACGTAAGAACATGGTTGGCCATGGTGGGGGCTGGGGAAGGAGGCTGAATCCTTGAATCTAACTCTTCCCAGATACTGCAGTGCATCGACTGTGCACCAAGTCTAGTGTGAGGAGGGCAGCTTCCTCCCAGTGAGGCGTGCCAGATAAAGCCTTTGCCTGTCAGTGGGCCTGGAAGACCACAGGTAGGATTTTGGCCTGGAACAGGACTCCTCAGGAAATCTAACTGCAAAATATAGATTAAAAATAAGAATTAAGAATATCCTACTGTTGTAATCTATATTTGGCTTTTGGATCCATATTTTGGCATTTTGTTCTCTAGTAGGAGAACCTAGACCTGGATATACCTCCCCAATCCAAACCCCGTCTCTGATAAAGCCTCTGAAAACCCTTGTCTGCTAATTTTTCTTGTAATTCTACTTACAGTTCATAGTCCTTGCTGATTCATCCCATTGTCTGGTTTCCTAGACCCAGAATGCAACTTTCTTAAAAATCTTGTCTCCATTTACTCTTCCTTTCCTTTATTTTCCCTTCTCTACATAGTTTTGAAAATTACATTTTAAAATTATAAATACGTATGTGTATGCATTGCCAACTTGCTCTCTCTTTTTTCAGTACAAGAGTATATGTAATATATAAGTGGAATATGAATATATATACACATATATGTATATATTCCACTTAGATTTACTTTACTGTTGGGAGACAGAACCAAAAACCAAGGAGTCAAATATAAAATAGGATGTATGTATATAAGCCCCATTGTTAACTTTCATACAATGTTTTTAATTGTCTCATTTTTTAGAAGACTACCAACCTGATAAATTATTAAAGAAGAGCCAAGAAAACCAAGGGAAACATTTGTAGCAATCATCAAAGACAAAATACTGACCACTGAGAAGAGAAAGTTTCAGAAAAACCACGTAAACTGGGCATAGATGCTTATTTCAAGAAAAATGCTTCGTAAATTGTGATACTGCAGTGTGTACATACCTGGGTTTCATCACGTTGGCCCCATACTGTAGAGAAATGGCTGGTCAACATTAGGGATGAGAGAACTTACAATCAAGAGAAATCTCCTAAATATAATAAAAGCATGAAAGATCTCAATTACAAGAAGGAAGTTATTCAGCATCAAACTATCTAGACTTTGAGGCAAGCTCTTGAATATAATAAACATGGAAAAGCTTTCCATGACAAGACTGCTCTTACTATACCTTAGAGTGCCCACACAAAGCTGAGATCCTGTAATTATAAATTTGGCAAAAATGTGATAAATCAATCCTCATTATCTCTCAGACCATTCACACAGAAAAGAGCCACTGAATCTAATGAAAATTAATATAATCAAAATGGGGATAATTTCAGTAAGATAACTCAAGTTCAGAGAACTGACACAAGAGGGAAACTTTCCAGCAGAAAATTCTGACTTCAGAGAACATGTGAGAACTCATAGGAGTGAAGTCCCTGAACGTGGAAAAACCAGCCATTACATCAGAGAACTCACACAGCAGAGAAATACTGTGATTACAACAGATGTAGGGAAATCTTCAGTTCCCAACCAGCCTTCAATATAAATCAGAGATCTCATGAAAAGTGAAGCCCTGTGAGTGAAATGAGTGGAGAAAATCCTTCTCTAGGAAATCACACCTCATTGCACATAAGAAAACACAGAGGAAAAATACTATGGTTGTAGTGATCATGGGAAAGCTTTCAGTGAAAAGTCAGCTCAAAGGGCATCAGAGAACTCACATAGAGAAGAAACCCTTTGAATGCAATGAATGTGGGAGAGCTTTCAACTATACCTCTGACATAAGACAATATCAGAGAACTCACATGGGGGACAGATCCTATAAATGTGATCAATATGACAAGTCTTTTAGCTGTAAGTTAACACTCACACTACATGAGAGAACTCAGGAGAGAAACCCTTTGAATATAATGAATGTGGTAAAACTGTCAGCAAGGAATCAGAACTAAGGAAATATCAGAGAACTCACACAGAAGGGAAACCCTATAAATGATAAATGTGGGAAAACTAATCTGTAAGTCAGCCCCTACAGCACATCACAGAATGCACACAGGCGAGAAACCCTATGAATGTAATGAACGTGAGACGACTTCCCCCTGGGAATTGGACCTCAGAACACATCAGAGAACGTGCACAAGGGAGAAACCCCGTGAATGTAATGCATTTGGGGAAGCTTTCAGCCAGAAGTCACAGCTCAGAGTTTACCAGAGAATTCACACAGGAGACTTTGCGTATGTGAATGTGAGCAGTTCTTTTCAAGAAATCAGCTCTCACTAACCATCAGGCAACATACAGGAGAGAAGTGTATGAATATAATAAATATATGATAACACTCCTCTGGAAATCTGACCTCACAGTTTTTCAGCCAGAGTTTAGGCCTCATTAGAAATCAGAGAATTAGTCCAGGAAAGAAACTTGATGAAGGTACTGTGGATTTGCATATTCTAGACACTTCATATAAACATAGTAAATGTCATTTATGTTTCCTTCTCACTGCCTGGTAGATTTTTCTTACGTCTCTGACCTTTTGTTCCAGCGAGTGATATTTTCATCTGGAGATCCAGAGGGAGTTAGGTTTCTGTGTGTCTGCGTACTAAGGGTCTTCACACCACTGCAGGCGGAAGAGAATCCTGTGGATAGAGGGTCTTCATACTGTGGCCGGCAGTGACAGGCTTGACCAGGAGATTCTTGGGTGTTAGCCCTCGCCTGGGTCTCCTTTCATTGCTGGGTGACTGATGGTTTGACGGAATGATATTAGATCTCAGCTGCCTACATAACTCTACAAATAATTAAACTTAAGTATTCTACTAAACAGATTTCACTGCTTGCCCAGTTAACTGAGTGACTAAGTTACTAACCCTACCATCAGCCATCTCAGACCTGCTAGCTGAAGTGATAGGCTGCTAGCTGTAACCCACCCAGAAGGAGGGAAGCCAGGTAGTGTTGCCAGAGTAAGAAGCTGCCTGCTCCTTTATCAGGCTCAGGCTCTTCTGCATTCTCGGTCCATCCCCTCCCCACTTGAGCATACTTAAATCCTTCAGAATCAGGGAACTGAGCCCTCTCCAGCCCATTCCTAAACTGAGACTGACCAAAGAGCTGCAAGGAGTTAATTAGCTGCCTAAAACTCATGCAAGTTTCTGGCTGCAAGTGGGTCTGTGCAGGTTTCTGGAGTGAGGATCCATGGCTTCCATTAGATTTTCAAAATGATCTCCAACTTGTAAATGACCTAAAATTGTCTATGAACCACTCCTCAGAAGGGACCCCCAGGAAACTTAAGAATATTATGGTTTATCCCCAAGCCCCATTTCACAGCCTCTTTAATCTACACTACTGTCCTGACTAGAGGTCACAATTAGGTGGAGAACATACAGGGCTCTGGGCTGACTTCTAAGCCCCACTTGGGGTTTTGTTCTCTTATATGGCTTCTGCTTCTCATTATTCCCACTTTGGGCCTGTGGGAGTAGAGTTGGTTGAAGTCTTCTAGAGAAAAGCCCAAGGAGTGTGCCAGCCCCTTTCTTGCTGGTGGCCTCCCTTGTGGGCCGTCTCATAGGATGACTGTGGTTTCTGCTCCCCTCACGGCAGATGCTCTTCACATTCAACACAGGGATAAAGACCCTAACATAACCCCATCCTGCTTGGGGTAAAAGGTATGCACCACTGAGAGTAGTCATTGAGACAGTGACTTATAGTTCAAATACATGCAAAGTGGTAGAAGCAACGGGAACCTGCAGCTTTAGATGGCCGTGAAAACTTGCAAATCATGCAATCAGTTAAATAAACTGAGTTTTATCCTACTAATAATCAAATCAGTTAAATTGGGTTGTATCTGTACCAACAGTAAACCAGTAACCAAAATTATAAGTATAAATTTATATTCATTGAAAATATCAACAATTCATTGGTAAGAACAATTTTTTCAACATTGTTTGACAAAATGAGTCCAGATCTCAGAAAAAAGTGTGAGGCAAAGACGCTGAGCCAGAAGGGAAAACACAAATACTAAGTGTGATCTCCTCTCGGTATTGGAACTAGGATTTTTAAAAATATTTTCTAATATTTTTGCTATAATCAGGAAATAATTAGTAAGTGATAGTTCTCCCAGCTTTTCTACTTTGTTCGACTTGTATGTGTTCCAGACTGTAAAAGCCAGGGAGCCCCTCTGGAACCATCCATTGAATAGGGATGAAGATTTAGCTCTGAAACGACAGCACAAATCCACCCCTACATTTATGTCTGCTAACAAGGCATTCGCATTTTTACTCTTTGCTCCCACTCTCCACGAATTCTACAATTACATTAGATTTTTCTCAGATTTCTAGGATAGGAGCTATCTACATAAACAAGTATTAGTAGCAAAGTCCAATTTTATAAGTAGATCATATGTTGCAGAAAATTTACGATCAATACCATGTATTTTGCTTTTTAAAACTTAGTTATTGGGTTCCAAGCACATGAGTGTTTTACCCTTAGATCTGGAGTCTGAACAGGCTTCTAGAAAAGGAAGAAAGAAGAAAGGGAGTAAAGAGGGAATTACCTTCTGATTTATTGCTGGTGTCATAAGACTTACGGTATTCTTTTAAGAAATAATAAAATCTCCCTAATTTTCACCAGTGCTGATATGGTTTTGTCTTTTATAAAACAAATGAATTGCAAAGTGGTTTAGAATATAGAGTAAGTCATATTTTATCAATCCTAAAAAAAAGTTCATAGCTTTTATCTTAACTACTCCTGAGAATTTACCCTAAAGAAATTATTTGAAATTAGATATAAGCTGTTTTCTGTGGCTGCATTATTATAAATAGTCCATAATATTAATAGTCCATAAAAAATGGTTTACTGCAGAATTGAAAATCACTGTATAAAGAGAAAAGCGTTTTTTGCCTGACTATTCTGATGCCAAAATTCCCCCTTCCCAGGCCTTAAAATCTCTTAGATGAATTCCATAACTCTTCAGTCACTTAGATAGCAAACCCTGGTCCAGTTTAAACCTTCCAGTGTCATGTAGGATTTAATGCTCTCCTGCTTCCTCTTTTAGATTCCAGCTCCTCCAGATGTTGGGTATAGAAAAGGAAGAAAGAATGAGAGGAGTCTTAGAGGGTTGAGGAAGTCTTCCCTATCACTTCAGTGATGGGGAGATGGTCCTCCTCTCTCTGGTTCATTCTGGTTCCATCTACCACTGTGGTCACATATGACATGGGGATCTCCACCTGTATGGTGTGTGTGGTTTTCTGGGGCAGTGTTGAGTTTCACCCCCCATCCATCACTGAGGCCCCACAGAGAAGGGCAGCAAGCCTGTGCATATGTCTTTGCTTGACTTGGAGGCATCCTGGGAACTTAATGATTCCTGCCCCATTTCTCAGCCAAGTAATCTTTTATATGGAGCCACAGAAGTCGCTGATGTCCCTAATGCCCACTCTGAGGGGCATGAGGAAGTGAGAAGCCTTTGTTTTTCCAGGTACATGACCCATTGTTCATCAGTCTATTGGCTTTGGCCCACACCAACAGATCTCATGTCTTCAGACATTTCCATACTATGAATGGGTTCTGTGATCTAAGTCTATGTAGTGTCTGGAAATTCTATCAGACACATATCCAGCTTCCCAAAACTTTCCCCACCAGCATCAGAAAATGTCCATCTAGAGTAGGGACAGGCTTCTCTTCTTTCAGGTGCCTCTGATCATTGTGCCCACTGATTCTCTTTGAAACCCTCCTGGAAGGGACTTTGGAAAGAGTAGAAACTCCTGTCTCCTCTGCCATAAGGAGGGCAATGCGTCTGCTTGCAATTCTGACTCTGTACAGGAGCTGGGGCCTTTCTCTTTTCAGTAGCCTGCTTCTCTCTCCTCTGAGTGAGGAGCAAGGAGAGAGGATGGGTGAAGTGATTCTGGGGTTGATTTTGACTACTTTAGGAAGGAAGGCATTTGGCCTTTTCTGCTTGTGGATCCCAGGAGGCTCTCTTTGAAATTTTGAGTTACTTCACATCCTTTAGTCCCCTGTGGGCTCAAGCTGCAAAGTTTAGGCATATATGGAAAGTCTTACCTCTTGTTTTAGATAGATAGATGATAGACAGACAGATATACAGATAGAAGCAAAGAATGATGGAGAGATAGAGACAGGCAGAGAAAGAGAAAAGGTAGGAAGGATGGATGAAAGAAGGAAGGAGAAAAGGAGGGGTGGAGAGAGAGAGAGGGAGGAATGAAGGAAGAAAGGTAGGTTGCTTTGTTGAAATACATACCCAAGTGTTGATTGTGACTATTATTGTTACTTATTTAAAGGAAAGGTAGAATTCATATTAAATACTTTAATTTTAGTATTTAAATTTACAGAATTGACAACATTTTTACAATGAATACACATCACTTTATAATCAGAAAAAAAACATTGAAACATTACCAAGAAAATTACCTTTGACACTGACTGACTAGCATTAGCATCTAAAAGGTTCTGCCAGTGCTTTCAACCATAATCATTGTTAGTCTGTTTCTTTTAAGAAGGCTTGGTGTTGTGAGTCGTGTGTCTTCCATGAGGTAAGTTATTACATCTATTTGGCTAATAATGACAGCTCAGGCCGTAGTTAAAAGCCTAGGTTCGGGAATCAGAGATTTCGGCTCCTCTGCCAAATAGCTGTGCCCGAGAACAATTTACTTAATCTGTCTGTGCCTCAGTTTCCTCATGCCTAACCAGGGGATCATCCCATTTCCCCAATAAGTCTGTTAAGGTGTTTAAATAATAACCATGGGAGGCTCTCTGGCACAGGAGGAGAGCCTGTGGCATCTGGAGATGGCCTCAATTTGAATGTAGCTCTGCCACCAAAAAGCAGTGTGAGCAACTCCATTGCAGAGCCCCCATATGCCTCATTGTCCCTATCTGTAAAATGTGAATCATAATGGTGGCAAATCTCACAGGGCTGCTGGCTACATGAGGATTAAAGGAGTTAGTGAATGCAAAGTGCTTAGCACAATACCTGGTGAATAAGAATAGTATTAATAATTATCTGTACTAATCCCATTCATGGACTATTTCATATAACCCTCCCACCAGCCAATGAGGTGGACATTTATTATCCCCAGTCTGCAGGTGAGGAAAGTGAGGGTTAGAGAGGTGAAACGACTCGTTTAAGGTAGCACATAGGTATCCAGACAGAATTCAGACCCGGACTCCAGATTTCCCCATGACCCTGGCCGCTGTCAGGGACCACCAGAGTGGAGCAGAGGGAAATAGGGCAGCTGGGCTGTGGTGTGGGTCTGCCCTGGACACTGGGCTGTGGCAGAAGATTGGAATAGGACCTGGGCTCCTGTCCTTCCCTAACCCCAGTAAGTTTTCCCACAAGGGACCAGAGGGTCGGGAGCTGAGGCTTTTCATTGGGACTCTGTAAAATCAGAGAAAGAGTAGAATTCACAGAGGGGAAAATGGGAGCATATAACATGGCAGCCTCAGCCTGGGCCTTAACTAGACAACATTTCCATGACGATGGGAAGGATGGGCTGAACTGGGGGCTGGGGGTGGTAAAAGTGGGAGATGAGCTTCCCCTTCACCTGGTATACAGGGGCAGAGGCCATTGTCCAGCCCCTCCTTCCAGGTGGGGAGTGTCTGCTCTCTGCCCCACCCACACTGAGGGTGCAGGGAGTGCTGTTCAATGACCTTCCTGATCCCTGAGCCGGAGTTGACTCTGTGGCAATGTCCACCAGGCAGGAGGAGCCCCAAATCCAGAAAATAGGAACCCCAATTCCAGAAAACCAGGCTACAGACCCCGGAGAAAGGGAGAACTTCAGGGACTCCAGGAGGGTGGCTGGAAGAAGCCCAGGTTGAGGAGGTGGGT